TGTGTGTGTGTGTGCATTTCTTGTGACCTTACTGAATTCGTTTATCAGTTCTAGCAGTTTTTTTGATTGAGTCTTTAGGATTTTCTATATATAGTATTACGTCATCTGCAAATAGTGAACAGTTTACTTCTTCCTTACCAAATTGGATGCCTTTTATTGCTTTTTCTTGCTGATTGCTGTACTTCCAGTACTATGTTGAATAAAAATGGTGAGAATAGACATCTTGTCTTGTTCCTGATCTTAGGGGAAATGCTCTCAGTTTTGACTATTAAATATGACATTTGCTGTGGGTTTTTCATATATGGCTTTTATGATGTTGTGGTATGTACCCTTTGAACTTACTTTGTTGAGGGTTTTTATCATGAATGGATTTTATACTTTGTCAAACGTTTTTCTTCATTTGTTGAAATGATAATATAGTTTTTTATCCTTTCTCTTGTGATGTCATGCTTCACATTGATTGATTTGTAAATATTGTACCACACTTGCAGCCCAGGAACAAATCCAACTTGATCATAGTGAATGATTTTTTCAAATGTATTACTGAATTTGGTTTGCTAACACTTTATTGAGGATTTTTACATCTAGGTTTATCAGAGATCTTGGCTATAGTTTTCCTTTTTTGAAGTGCCTTTATCTGATTTTGGTATCAAGGTAATTCTGGACTCATAGAATGAATTTGGGAGTTTTCTTTCCTCTTTTTTTTTCCTTGTTGATTTTCTGTGTGGATGATCTATCCATTGTTGTAAGTGGGGTGTTAAAGTCACAATACCACTATTGTGTTACTATTGATTAATCCCTTTATGTTTGCTATTAGCTCTTTATGTATTTAGGTGCTTTATGTTTGGTGCATAAATACTAACAATCGTTATATCATCTTGTTGGATTGTTCTCCTTATGGTTATATAGCATCCTTCTTTTTCTTTAGTTATCAGCCTTTGTTTTAATGTATATTTTGTCAGCTATGAATATTGCTACCCCAGATTTCTTTAACTTCCATTTATGTGATAAATGCTTTTCTATCCCTTCACTTTCAATCTGCACATGTTTTAGGTCTGAGTCTCTTGTAAGCAGCATATATATGAGTTTTGCTTTTTTATTCATTCAATCACCCTATTACTTTTATTGGAGTATTTAACCTATGTACATTCAAAGTAATTATTGATAAGCATGTATTTATGACCATTTTGTTACTTATTTTACGGTTGTTTTTGTAGTTCTTCTCTGTTCCTTTCCTCTTTTCTTCTTTTCTCTTATGGTTTGCTTTCTTTAGTGATATACTTGGAATTTTTTTCCTCTGTTTTTTGCACATCTATTATTGGTTTTGATTTTTGGTTACCATTAGGTTTATATATAACATCTTATGCATATAGCAGTCTATAATGTTGATGGCTGCTTGAGTTTGAACCCATTCTTTACTCCTTTGACCGCTACGTTTTAGGTATCTAGTGTCATACTTTCTCCTTTGAGCATTTCTTGTAAGTCTGGGTTAGCAGTGATGAATTCCTTTAACTTTTCATTTGTCTGTGAAACTCTTTACCTCTCTCTTAATTCTAAATGATAGCCTTGCTGGATAGAGCATTCTTGGCTGCAGGTTTTTTCCTATCAGAACTTTGAACATATCATGCTACTCCCTTCTAGCCTGCAAAGAAAGTTCTGCTGAAAAATCTGCTGATAGCCTTATGGGATTTCCTTTTTATGTAACTGTTTTCTTTTCTATTTCTGCTTTTAAAATTCTTTTTATCACTATGTTTTGCTATTTGAATTACTATGTGTCTTGCTATGGACCATCTTGGGTTGATTTTGGAGGGTGGGACTCTGTGTGACTCCTAGATATGGATTTCTGTTTCTCTTCCCAGATTTAGACAATTTTAATCTATTATTTCTTCAAATAAATTTTCTTTCCCCTTTATCTCTCTTCTTTTTCTGAGATCCCTATAATGTTATGATGCTTGATGGTGCCACTGAGTTTCCTACATTTATTTTCATTTTTTAATGTTTTTCTCTGTCTCTTGTTCAGCTTGATGGCTTTCCATTATTCTGTCTTCCAGGTCAATGATTCATTCTGCTTTCTCTAGGCTACTATTTGTTCCACCTAGAGTATTTTTAATTTCATTTATTGAGTTGTTCATCTCTGATTTTTTTTTCTTTTCTATCTTGTGTTGAGGGTCTCACTGAGGTCCTCCCCTCTCTTCTCAAGCCCAGCGAGTATCTGTATGATTATTATTGTAAATTCCTTGTCAAACATATTACTTATTTCCATTTCATTTAGCTCTCTTGCTATGATTTTGTCCTGTTCTTTCATTTGGGACATATTCCTCTGTCTCCTCATTTTATCTAACTTTCTATGTCTGTTTCTATGTGTTAGGAAAGTCAGCTATGTCTCCTATTCTTGAAAGTAGTGGCCTTATGAAGAAGACATCCTGTAGTGCTCTGTAGTGTAGTGTCCCTTGTTCACCAGAAAGTGGCACTTCAGAGGTGTCTCCTGTGTGTGTTGCATTCTCCTATTATTGTGGCTGAGCCACTTTTTCCTTCAGTCCAGTCATCTTCAATGGCTCTCTTTGCCTGTTGTGGGCAGTGTTTGCTCCCTGTGTTGTTAATGAGCAAGTGTGGGGCTGCTTTGGGTTTGAATTGAGTCAGACAAAGTGTTTGCCAGAGATGCATCAGTGTTGAATTGCATGGTGCTTTCCCTGTGTTGTACCCTGCAAAGCTTTCATTGATGGGTAAGATCTGCAGTGAAACCAACACTCTGCCTCCAGCCCCCTGCTGGGGCCACAGTTAGATTGGTGTGTGTGGTTGTCTTCCATTCTCCCTAGGGCAGGAGTCACTTTGGAGTGGTGCTGGCCCCTGATGGGGCTGCTTGCACACTGCTATGCTTCAAGCACCACTTTGGACGGACTTCTGCCCAGGGCGGATTGGAAGGGGAGATCCACAGGTGAATATGGGATTGGGGCATGTGGTATTATCAAGGTTCTCACAGGTCTGTTGTAGGAGGGGACCTGGAGCCACTTTAGAACACTGCTGTCACAGGGCTAGAGGGCGTGTGTGCACAGGAGAATGGGGGGACGGGTATTGTCAGCAAGTTAGTTGGAGAGTGCTGGTATTGTGTCGGTTCCCACAGGTGTCTCTGGGTCTAGGTTGGGGGATGGGGAGTAAATGGCACCCTCCAGCTCCTTTGTTTCCTGAGAAATCTAACGATCCCTCTCCTTTTAGCATATGCTATGGATTACTAAATAAGTCTTTTTTCCATATACCCCGAGCAATTTTCAAACTGCTGCTTCTATGTTGTATCTCTGCATCACTGTTTGTCATGCTGTCCCTTTAAGGGCAGGCACTCATTTTCCTCTTGCCCTCCTGGCTGTCTCAGAGCTGAGCCTGCTGATTTTTTTTTAATTTAATTTTTTGTTATCTCTACACCCAATGTGGGGCTTGACCTCACATCCCTGAGATCAAGAGTCACATGCTCTTCTGACTGAGGCAGCTGAACCTACTGATTATTAAAGTTTTAGGTGTTAAGCCCTGCTGATTCTAAGAACATACAAAATTAGGCCCCTTTGGTTTTCAAGGATTCATTTTCCCTGTGTGGGGTCCCTGTTCCTAGGGTGCTTGGCAAGCACCTTCTCTACCCCTCAAGACCTTCCTCCCTCCCAAGGACAGTCCAAGAGCCCATTAAGCTCAGGACCACGTCTCCACCCTTTCTATTCTCCTCAATATGGCTTTTTCTCTGCATTTAGCTGTGGAGAGTCTGTTCTGCCATTCTTAGGGTCATTTTCTGGGTTGGACATAGGTGTTATCTAGGTGTATTCATGGGATAAGGTGAATTTAGCATCTTCCTGCTCTTCCAACTTCCCTGGAAGTCCATTTTACCTATTTTGTTATTCAACTATAATTAATACGGATTTACTTAAAATACTTAACCAATTATCTTAGATTCATTTGTTAAAAAAATCCATTTATCATCTGCTAACTTAAAATGCCATTTTATATATATTTAGTATATAGTATGGACCTTTGATGGGATTTTTTACAAAATTTCTCTTCTTTTTAACTAATCTGTCCTGTTTTATTTTTATTCTATTTTCAATATAGTTGTTTTTAGTATCTTTTAATATTTAGTTAAGTCTTGCTTCATTAGTTACCTTTCCTAAAAAATACATACTGTTCTGCTTATTGATGAATGATGGAGTAATTTTAAGTTTCAAGAATTGGGAATTTTAATTGATACATTTATTAAATACAAAAATTAATTTTGAGAGTTTGATATGAGAGTTTGATAATGAAAATACATTACTGAGCCTTTCTTCTGGGATATGGTAGAAATTTCTAATAGTGTCTTCTTTCATGACATATAGTTTTATACTGTTATTCCTATACCTGTATATTTCTTGTTGAGCTAATTCACATATTTAGCAGTTCTGTCTTCCCTTTGCAGTTTAACGAAATAGTCTTTGTTTTAGTATTTTCTTTCAATTATTCTTTATGACCTCCTTTTATTTTATATATGTATTTGTATAATGTCTTGCTGATTTTTTAACTTTTAATCTTTTTATTTCACTAAGAATAGGTGAATCTCTTAAACACATAGCATAAAGATGCATTACCTTGATTTATCAAACTCATCTAAAGATCTTTATTCTTTCATACAAAATACAATTGGTCTATATTTATCATTATTATTGACATTTACCATACTTTGTCATCATATACACTATATTTTTAAATTTTGCTGATTAATGTATGTTTATCTTTGTAAATAGATTGTTTTTTCTGCATTTATTTAAAATTCTATTATTTTAAGAGGCATAAATTATGTGTCTGTTAGCGGTTTATTAATATTAATAAAAATATTAACTGTAATTTTCCATTCAATCTAACATAAAAAATGATAACTTTTAATGTCTCTTAAGGTATTTTTAATTTATTTTTAAGATACATAATGAAACACAATTTTGCTTTTATCTGAATTTAGAGTCATGCGCTTCTCTTTGTGTGCATATACCAGTATTAGAATAAGATTGTTATTCATTAAAATTTACACATTATACTCACTGCTTTCTGAACAATTTTGATATTGTGACATTTAATTTTAAAGTCATGTATAAAATAATTATTAAAAATGAATCTATGTTTAGCTTTCTCATTACTTATTGCATGTTTTTAAGTTTTTCATTTTTTATTTTACCTTATCTCTGTTTTTTCAAAAGTCTTTAATTACAAATTATATAGAAGGCATTGTATCTTCCACGTTCTTGCATACCTGAGAATATATTTTCTTCAAATATGAAAATGAAATTTTTATCATCTTAATCTACAAAAGTTTCTCTGCATATAGTTACATTATCCTTATTAATATCATGAAGGAAAACTACATGCCATTATGATATATTCATAATGCTTGAAGAAATTTTCACAATCTTTGTATTTCAAATATTTCTTCTGGAAATGTTTAATGACATTCGTTTCTCCCAGTCATTTAACATTAAGTGTGGGCAACTTACACAATTGCTAACATGAGTCTTTTTTAGTTCAGAATACTTTCTCTAGTTATGTCTTTGTGACCAAAGGTTGTTGCTTCTTCTTCAAGTGGAGTACTTATACTTACATTCTTTTTCTCTGTTTTTCAAGTCTTTCACTTTCTCAGTACTTGCTTTTAACATTTTTACCTTCTTGTTCTGAGATGTAAGACTTTTTTTTCTCTTTCTTTCTTTCTTTCTTTCTTTCTTCTCTGAGATGTAATTTACAAATATGGAGGTCAAATGACAAATTACATTTTCTTATTTATCATTTCTATATTTTAATACCTCCAGTTATTGCATATTTGTTTCCTGGAGTTGTTTTCTATTTACATCTATTTGTAGTCCATCCTATTGACTTTTTATTTTGGGTTTTGTCTCAACCTTTTAATAGAATTATAGTGGCTATATCTTCTTAAATTTTGTTGAGTGTGCCAATTATTTTTGAAACTTTTTTTTTCTAATTTTTGTTTTTTTTGAAAAAATTTGTAATGCTTTTTTTATTTTTGAGAGAGATAGAGAGAGACAGAGGGCAAGCAGGGCAGTGGCAGAGAGAGAGGGAGGCACAGAATCTGAAGTATGCTCCAGGCTCTGAGCTGTCAGCACAGAGCCAGAAGAGGGGCTTGAACACACAAAACATGAGACCATGACCTGAACTGAAGTCAGATGCTTAACTGACTGAGCCACTCAGACACCCCTCTAATTTTCAATATAAACCTATTTTTTGAGATTTCAGTTTCTTAGTCCATTGTTTATTAGTCCATTATTTAAATACCTTTAAAAATATATATATATATAGGTATATATAATAGGTATTATATAAAATTATATTTTATATATTATATATATATATAAAGATATTATATATGTTATATATAATATATCTGTGTGTGTGCGTATTTTTTTACTTTGATTTTACTCAAATGAGGCAATGTGTTTCCAGACTTAATATTTACTAATGACATGAGTGAGGGTTACCTGAGGCTGAGAGATGACTGATACTATCTTATTATTTTTCTTAGCTGGGATTCAAGTTGAACAGCACCTACCTGATTCTTTACTTTTAGTAGATGTTAATATATTATTTCCTAACCAATGGAGCATTTAAAATGCTACACTACTAAGCTGGCACTGCCCTGGGGCTCCTTTTTATCTCTGTTTGACCTAATGTACTTTGGTCATAGAAACTATACCTCTTAAGCTGCAAACCATGCTTATTGTCAATTTATCACTCTCTTAGCTTTTGTAATTTTCTAAATCTGAATGCATGTAAATTTCTGAGATTGAAGAAAGTGGAAAGGGACAGTCTTTCTCTCAAAAGTAGCACCTTGTGAGCAGGCTTGAGTTGGCATAGGCTGTGGGCTCTGAGGTAATGGGAAATACAATATATCTTCTTAATTGTTTTCACGTAGTCCACTCAAAGACAAAGCCTGGAGAAGCATTTTCTAAATCAAACTTCATCTGCCTTACACTTGGGATTCCTTTCTTCTGGTATATGTTTATCTTCTTTTCTTTAGTATTAATGTTTATGAGCATTCCTTTTTTTATTGTCTCTAGGTTTTTTTTAAGTTGGAATTTGTGAAGATCTACATGTAGGACCAAATCCAAGATCAATATAATTATGTCCATGTTTTGATTTTTTAGAAGAATGTAATGCCTATGAGTCCTGTATTTGAGCTGTGTAAAATTACATGAATAGCAAAATTACATGACTATGTTGTTGATAATTTCTAAATCTACGAGCAAGTATCAACTAATGATTTGTTAATAAGCAATAGCAAATATTATAAGAATTAATATCTTAAAATATGTCCAACTTATTAATGTAAGTTTATATTTCATAACTTAACATAATACAAATCATTATAATAATAGCCAAAATGGCATCAGCGATTGTGATCCCAAACTTAGAGACTCACAGATGCCTACAAAAATCAAATACTGTTGAAATGGTTTCCTATGCTCTACCCCCTGCCAATCAATGCTTGACCTTCTAGCTTTAGTACTAGTTGGATTTAAATTCTTCTAGGGATTTGTTCATCCTAATTCTGATTTCTGCTAAAGCACCTGGGTTAAAGCACTTAAAGCCATCACCATGTATTTACATCTTGGTCTTAAGGGAATGTAGGTATGAGAAAAAGTAGAAAGGGAAAGATTGGGGAGCGAGGCTATATCACCAGGGTAAAAAGATGATGCCACTCTTGGAGAAAAAAAATCAGAGCATAGAGAAGACAAATGATGAGTACTAAAAGCAAGCTTTGCCCACATTAACTTTGCTTAGTTAACCTTTACCTGACTATCTGTTAGTCCATAAATGACCTCTAATCCACTGTAAGTCATGATGAGTCTATTGATACATAGGGGTGGAGTATTTAATCAAACAATGTCTAGGAGTTGGAATTCATTGACTATGTGCAGTTGTTGAGGATGATTTTGAGGTTTTGAGATGTTCTATTTGTCACAGGTTTCAACATAGTTTTTATTTCTCTGAATGTGAAAATAAATTTAAAAAAAATTCATTAAAATAGAGCTCTACAGTGGCACCTGTGTGGCTCAGGTTGTTAAGCATCTGACTCTTGATTTGGACTCCGGTCACGATCTCATGTTCTTAAGATTGAGCCCCATGTCAGACTGCGCTGACAGTGTAAAGCCTGCTGGAGATTCTCTCTCTCTTTCTCTCTCTGCACCTCCCCTACTCGTGCTTTCTCTTTCTCTTAAAATAAATACACTTTAAAAAAAGCTCTACAAGGATAGGGAATTTGTATTTTTCCCTTCTGCTTTCCTGGCATTTAGGAGGGTGTTTGGCACATAACAGTTGTTCAGTAAATATTTGTTGATTGAATAAGTGGATGAACGTATGATAAGTGAATTAAGTAGGCAATCATCAAAGGGCAGTAGCAAGGCTGTGGGACTTCAGCAAATGTTGCCTGGTGTAATGAATAGAGCCCTGGAAGAGACATCAGAAATGGCTTCTCCTTTCTTGCATGGGACTAAATTGCTGCATAACATTTAGACCAACACCTCTAGCCCTGATCATTGTTCCTCTAAACCTAAATTTTCTTTTTTATAATCTGAGTGTTGAGAGGGTTTCTGATGAATATAGTCAATATAAATTTCCAATTATTTATAATACTTATTTTTCCATTTATTTACTCTCATACTTAATGCATCATATCAGGCGGAAAGTATCTGTTTCTCTCTTCCAGTAGATCTGTTAACCTCAGGGCAGATGCAGTACAAAGCAGTGGGAGGGGGGCACGTAGTCTCACTGGACCGCTGCTGCTCTTGCTTTGTGTTATCATGTGGCGTCACCTTTGACAGCTGATACCAGT